TTCATTTTTTTTTTTTTTTACAGGCAGAGTTAGAAAGTGAGAGAGACAGAGACAGAGAGAAAGGTCTTCCTTCCGTTGGTTCACCCCACAAATGGCAGCTATGGCCGACACTGCACCAATCCGAAGCCAGGAGCCAGGTGCCTTCCTCCTAGTTTCCCATGCGGGTGCAGGGCCCAAGCACTTGGGCCACTCTCCACTGCACTCCCAGGCCACAGCAGAGAGCTGGACTGGAAGAGGAGCAATCAGGATAGAATCCGGCACCCCGGACAGGAGTAGAACCCAGTGTGCCCGTGCCACAGGCGGAGGATTAGCCTAGTGAGCTGCGGCGCCAGCCTGAACCATGGATTCTTAAGAATTACAGAAGCCTCTGACACCTATAGAATTTAGATTCAGTCCCCAGGCCATGAATTGAATTGTAAAAACATAATGTTAATGAAAATATCACCTTTGATGACCACATTCCTCCTATGTCAAACTGAGAGATCTCACAGACAGCTTCTGGAGACCAGCAGCAAGGTGTCCAGGGAATTTTACATAAGATAATTTTATTCCAGGTGTCTTGAGCTTAGGCAAGAGGAAGATATAAGGGCATGATGGACATTCCAATTGGAATTCTCTATTAGTCTTTGCCTTCAGTTATATGAATAAACTTATATCACCACTTGGCCTTCAGAAATATTGTAAAAATACTACTTTATGTACAACTGAAGTTTTGATTTTAGTTTGATAATAAATTCTTTGGAACTTTAATAACATAAGATCAAGCCTAGCACTCTCTTCCTTGTGCCATTACCAGTCATACTTTATTTTCTTGCTAAACTCTTTTGTGTAAAGTTAAACATGTAAAATGTATAAGACACATTATTTGTGAGATTCTAAAATTTTTAAATATTATTTTGTTTATTTGAAAGGCAGATAGAGACAGAGAGAAAGTGATCTCCCACCAGGAAGTGAACTACAACAGCCAGGCCTGGACTAGGTTGAAGTCAGGAGCCTGGAACTCAGTCTGAGTCTCCTATGTGGGTGTTAGCAACACAACCACAGGCTGCATCCCAGGGTATATATTAACAGGAATCTGGAAATGAGAGCAGAGCTGGAGCTCAAACCCAATCACTTTGATATGGAATGTGTACATCCCAAGCAGCAGTGGCTCAACCACTATACTAAGTGCTTGCCCCCTAAACACTTGTGCAGGGACTGCACTGTGAACCTGCTATGCCACAACACTGGACCCCTCAAAAAAACAATCAGACTGTATCTGTTTTACTTCTCTTGTAATAGGAATATTTAATGCAGTATTGAAAATTGAATGTGGGGCTGGCACTGTGGCACAGAGGGTTAACACCCTGGCCTGAAGCACCAGTTTCCCATATGGGTGCAGGTTCGAGTCCCGGCTGCTCCACTTCTGATCCAGCTCTCTGCTATGGCCTGGGAAAGCAGTAGAAGATGGCCCAAGTGCTTGGGTCCCTGCACCCGCATGGGAGACCCAGAAGAAGCTCCTGGCTCCTGGCTTCGGATCGGCGCAGCTCTGGCCCTTGCGGCCATCTGGGGAGTGAACCAGCGGATGGAAGACCTCTCTCTCTCTCTCTCTCTCTCTCTCTCTGATGCTCCTTTAAAAAAAATAAAAAGAATGTGGGTAATATTCTTTTTTAATAAGCTTTATTTATTTATTTGAAAGAGTTATACACAGAGAGAAGGAGAGTCAGAGAGAGAGAGAGAGAGAGAGAGAGAGAGGCCAGCACTATGGCATAGTGGGTAAAGCCGCACCTGTAGTGCCAGCATCCCGTAAGGGCGTGGTTCAAGTTTCAGCTGCTCCACTTCCAATCCAGCTCTCTGCTAATGGGCCTGGGAAAGCAAAGGGATATGGCCCAATTACTTGGGCCCCTGTACCCACATGGGAGACTCCAAAGAAGCTCCTGGCTCCTGATTTCGGCTGAGCTCAGCTCTGACCCTTGTGGCCATTTGGGGAGTGAACCAGCAAATGGAAAATCAATGTTTTTTTCTCTCTCTTTCTGTATGTATGTGTGTGTGTCTGTGTGTGTACATATCTGCCTTTCAAATACATAAAATAAATCTTTTAAAAAAGATTGCATCTATATGATTACACATATATTGAAGGAGTCTAGAATATACCACCTTAAATACAATATTTTGGCACAAGGATTATTTTGTGCTATAGGCAATTGAGAATCAGATGGAGGAACAGTTCTCTGCCCTCCCTTTATCTGCCTGAAAGCTGGGCTTAAATTTCTCTGAGGGAGGTATCCCCTAAAAATCAGTGGGAGAGGCCAACATTTTTGCTCACCAGGTTAAGCCACCACTTGCAATGTAGCCATTCCATATCAGGGTGCTGGTTCAAGTCCCAGGTGTTCTGCTTCTGATTCATCTCCCTGCTAATGCTCCTGAGAAGGCAGCAAATTATAATCCCAGTATTTGGGCCCCTGCTACCAACATGCCAGATCTGGATGGAGCTCCAGGCTCCTGGCTTTGGCCTAGAGCAGTTCTGTCTGTTGCAGCTATCTGAGGAGTGAATCAGCAGATGGAAGATTCCCCCCCCATCTCTTTCTCTCTCTCAGAACTGTCTTTTAAATAATTAAATATTTCTTTAAAAACAGCAAGAAAAGTGCAAGTCTTGTTATCAAACATTGGGATCAACCATAACATAAATGTCTTTGTCAGTTTGGCCTACTCGGACAGAATACCATAGGCTGAGAAAATCATAGCTCAGGAGGCTGGGAAGTCCAAGATTAAGGTGCTAATATATCTGTGCTTGATGAGGATCCTTGCCCTAGTTTACAGGAAATAGTCCTCTTTCTGAATCCTCACATGGCAGAGAAAGAAAGATATTGCCTGTCTTCCTCTTTTTTTTTTTCTTTTTAGATAAGTAACATAAAATTGAACAAATGAAAAGTGAAAAACTTAGTGACATTTAAGATTCTCATAATTTTGTGTAATCACCACCTCATTTACTGTTTGCTTTTTAAAAGCACTTTTTACCCCACACATCGTTCTCCTTCCCAGTTAGCTCCACCTGGAATAACTGCAGTCTGATAACTTCTCTTCCTAAGCAAAGCTGTGCTGGGCAAATCTAGGGAAGCCAGTTTTTTAAAAACATGTGCTAACAGGCCAGCATTGTGTGGGTCAAGCCAATGCCTCTGGGGTCCCATTCCGGTTCCAGTCCTGCTGCTCTGCTTCTGATCCCCGTCCTTGCTAATACAACTGGGAAATCAAGTAAAGATGACTTGTGTGCTTGGGCCCCTCTTGACCACAAGGGAGACCTGGATGGGGTTCCTGGCTCCTGGCTCCTGGCTCCAGCCTGGCTTGGCCTGATGTGATTCAGAGGATACCTGTTTGGTTACACTCTTGCTCTCATGCTCTGTCACTGGGTCTTTCACATAAATTTTTTCCAGATAAAAGGTTGTTTCAATTAAGAGAAGACATTTATCTTTATTTATTTATTTTAATTTTTGAACGATTTATTCATTTATTTGAAAATCAGAAAAAGAGAGATCTTCCATCTGCTGGTTCACTCCCCAAATGGCCACAGGGGCTGGGGCTGGGTCAGGCCCAACCTAGGATCCAGGAACTTCTTTGCACTCCCTCGGGTGGATGGCAGGGGTCCAAAAGCTGGGGCCATCTTCCACTGCTTTTCCCAGGCAATTAGCAGGGAGCTGGGTTGAAAGTGGGGCAGCCGGGACAAAAACTGTCACCCATATGGGATACCAAGGTTGCAGAAAGAGGCTTTACCCTATACTGCACATCACAGGCCACATTTACTTTATTTTTTTTTAATTTTTTTTAAATTTTTGACAGGTAGAGTTAGAGAGAGAGAAAGGTCTTCCTTCCGTTGGTTCACCCCCAAAATGGTCGCTACGGCCGGAGCTACGCCGATTCGAAGCCAGGAGCCAGGTGCTTCCTCCTTGGTCTCCCATGGGGTGCAGGGCCCAAGCACCTGGGCCACCCTCCACTGCCTTCCCGGGCCACAGCAGAGAGCTGGACTGGAAGAGGAGCAACTGGGACTAGAACCCGGCGCCCATATGGGATGCCAGCACCGCAGGTGAAGGATTAACCAAGTGAGCCACGGCACCGGCCCGGGCCACATTTTATTTTTTAAAAAGATTTACTTTATTTATTTGAAAGGCAGAGTTACAGAGAGAGAGATCTTCAGTCTGCTGGTTCACTCCCCAATGGGCCGTCTTCTGCTGCTTTCCCAGGAGCATTAACAGGGGGCTGGATGGAAAGTGGAGCAGCTGGGAATCCAACTTAACTACTATGGGATGCTGGCATCGCAGGAGGTGGCTTAACCCACTGCGTCACTCTAGTCCCAAGACATCCACCTTATAAAAAGCATATAGTAAGTTGACATGACAATTAAGACCAAAATGGAGGACTAGATGAAGTAGCCAGAGAAGGTGCCTTGTTTTACTTTCCCAGAAAGCAATGGCGCAGGCGGCGCTCCTGAGGCTAGGTCTAAGGCACTCTGGTTCCTGCAGGTTCTGTAAGGCAACTCGGATACTCAACAAGTCTGCTTCCTGCCATCCCACTACACTAGGAAGGCTTTCTCGAAGCTTCCAAAACCCGGCACTGTTGGGCCACCTATCGTTCCGGAAAGCATCTGAAAGCAAGCAAGAGGCTCACTCATCGTTACGCAGCGGAGCCTGCGCCCCGCGTAGGTCCAGAGGTACTAAAGGATTTAGCCTTCTCAGAGATCACTTTCCCTTTCATTAAAGAGCTTCTAACAGACCCCGCCCCTACCTCCGCTCAGGTCCCGCCCCTTCCGTGAAGAATCTCCGCCCCGTAGCCGTCCTCGCCACCTCACGCCCCGCCCCTTTCCTTTAAGTCCCGCAGAAGACTACAGGAGTTTGGCGCCAACCGTATTTTTTTTCCCCTTCCAAAGGCGGGAACTAGTTATGTGCGCCGGGACGTGGTTTGCGTCGGACGTGATTGGTCAGCAACACTCCGTCCCGCCTCCGCGTCCCGTCTGCGCTCTGCTATTGGTGGAGATGTCAGAGAGCCCTCGGTGTCCAGAAAGAAGCCCGGGCAGTCCTGGGCCCCGCGGGGCGGGTAAGTTGTTGTGGGCACTGTGTCCGTGCGGAGCTGCTGGGAAAGAGGCTGTGTGGTGCGGTGGTGTTCCGAACGGAGGCCAGCGGTCTGCGGGAAATCGAGAGTCGGAGAGAGTCCACCTGGAGCGACCAAATCAGTGGGGGAAGGGCCGCGCCTGACGTGTGGGGGCCACAGGTAGCCACGGTTCTCCCCTCGCCCTCTGCTGCAGTCCCTGGAGTCGCACTGGATGCCCTCTGTGGTCTCGAGGGAGGGTCCGGGCGGGGCCTCGGGGTGAACGCCTGTAGGAATTGCGTTTTCGACCATTCATCCTGCCCATCCCCCAACCTGGCCTTGGCATGTACTCTTATGGGCTCTTATGAATGCTGTTATGATGAGATTGTCTGGAGAGGCAGGTTTCCTTGACTATCAGGTGATCATTGATGTCGGTTGTTTCCCAAACTGTTAATGCCCAGAGAAGTTGTTGGCCTTGAGCCTTTCAGCGCCTAGAACTCTCCCGGGTACATAGTAGGCCTTAACTCAGGTGTGAATGTAGAATTCTGAGTCTAAGGATTGGGTACTTTAGGCAGCAAGTTGGCTTTGAACCTTCGACTCTTGCTATGGCCTTTCCATTCGCAGCTCCAGCACCAAGCCTTTGCCTCTCAAGGCCCGTCTCACACCTGTCTCAGTGCCTCTTGATTAGAGGGGAACCGGGGTCTTGAAGGCAAGAATCCTCTCATACCACCTCCCATCCTTGCTCTCCCCACTTTACCGTCTTGCAGCATTTCCTGCTGTATTACAATAAGAAATGGTCTGTTGTACACATTTTTTTTAAATGAGTATTCTAAAGCATATTCTTGATCCTGTGGCTTTACAGACAGACATGGGATCTAATCCCAACCCTGCTGTTTATTAGCTGTTAGCCTTGGGCAGGTTTCTTAATAGTTTTTTCCTTTCTGCAAAATGGGAAAAAAGAATGACAGGGATTTCATAGGACTTTGGGGGAGGATTTAAAGTAAGTTATTCATGTATTGTTTAGGTCAGTGGCTCACACATGGTGAGTAGTCCGAGTAACTTTTGTTACTATTTGTCCCTCTAGTCTTTTTCCGGGCCTTCTCTGTATCAAGATACCGCAAAAAGTAAAAAAAATAGAATGAAAGATAAATTTATTTTGGTGCAGAGAAAATTGGAATCCTTGTATAGTTTTTTTCATAAAACAAATTTTTCATAATGCTTCAAGACATTTGTTTAAAAACAAGTTTTGGTGGGCTTGTGGCAGTAGTGGCCAAGTCACTGCTTGGAATACCTATATCCTGTATCAGAATGCCTGGTTCTAGTCCCTGCTACTCGACTTCCCCATGCAACTTCCTGCTTATAATATGGACCCTGGGTGGCAGCAGATGATGACTCACGTACTTTGTGTCCCGGTCACCCACTTGGGAGATGTGAATTGAGTTTTGGGCTCCTGGCATTGGCCTGGCCCACCCCTAGCTTAGTTGCTGGCTTTTGGGAGTGAAGCAGTAGATGGAAGATCTCTCTGCTTTTCAAAGAAAATGAAAACAAGTAAATAAAAATTTTCTTAAAATAAAAATTTTTGATTAACATGTAATACATACCTTTATTGGGCATGATGCAGTATTTATTTTATTTATTTATTTTTTTTGACAGGCAGAGTGGACAGTGAGAGAGAGAGAAAGGTCTTCCTTTTTTTTTTTTTTTTTTTTTGCCGTTGGTTCACCCTCCAATGGCTGCCGCAGCCAGCGCACTGCGCTGATCCGAAGCCAGGAGCCAGGTGCTTCTCCTGATCTCCCATGCGGGTGCAGGGCCCAAGCACTTGGGCCATCCTCCACTGTACTCCCGAGCCACAGCAGAGAGCTGGACTAGAAGAGGAGCAACTGGGACTAGTACCTGGCACCCCAACCAGGACTAGAACCCCGGGGTGCCGGCGCCGCAGGTGGAAGATTTTTTTTTTTAAATTTTTACTTAAGAGGCAGAAAGAGTGAGAGACAGAGAAGTTTTATCCAATGGTTCAGCTGGTTCACTGCTAAGTTGCAATCCAAGTCTTGTGTATTGATGGGGGACCTAGGGTCTGCATTAGCAGAAAGCTAGAATTGGGAACTGGAACTTGAATCTATGCATTCTGATATGGGAAGATGGTGTACCAACCTGTGTCTTATCTGCTAGGCCAAACACTTTTTTTTTTTTTTTAAAGATTTATTTATTTATTTGAAAGACTGAGTTACAGAGAGGTTGGGGCAGAGAGAGAAGTCTTCCATCCACTGGTTCACTCCCCAAATGGCTACAATGGCTGGAGTTGTGCTGATCCGAAGCCAGGAGCCAGGAACTTCATCCGGGTCTCCCCGGTGGCTGCAGGGGCCCAAGCACTTGGGCCATCTTGTACTGCTTTCCTAGGCCATAGCAGAGAGCTGGATTGGAAGTGGAGCAGCCAGGTCTCAAACCGGTGCTTGTATGGATTGTTAGCTGCAGGTGGTGGCTTTACCCACTACGCCACAGCGCTGGCCCAAGCACTTTGTTTTAAAGATTCATTTAATTGAAAGGCAGAGTTATATAGAGAGAGATCTTCCATGCATTGGTTAACTCTCCAAATGGCTGCAATTGCCCTGTTTTAAAGATTCATTTAATTGAAAGGCAGTTATATATAGAGAGATCTTCCATGCATTGGTTAACTCTCCAAATGGCTGCAATTGCCAGAGTCGTGCTGGTCCAAAGCCAGGAGCTCCTTTTGGGATTCCTAAGAGGGTACAGGGCCCAAGTAGTTGGGCCATCGTCTGCTACTTTCCTAGGCACATTAGCAGGGAGTTGGATCAGAAGTGGAACAGCTAGAACCTGAGCTGGCACCCATATGGGATGTCAGTGTTGCAGGTAGCAGCTTCACTCACAACCCCACAACACCAGCCCCCAAAATATTCTATTACTTACCAACCTACAAGACTCTGTACTTGAGATACAGTGGTGAACAGAACAGAGATGGGAGCCAGGAGCTTCTTCTGGGTCTCCCACTCAGGAGCAGGGGTCCAAGGACTTGGGCCATCTTCTACTGCTTTCCTAGGCCATAGCAGAGAGCTGCATTGGAAGTGGAGCAGCTGGTCTCAAACCAGCGCCCGTATGAGATGCCAGCACTGCAGACCAGGGCCTTAACCTGCTATGCCACAGCGCCGATCCCAGTCTTGCACTGTTTTAATAGCCTTTTTTTTTTTTTTATCACCCTTGCAACTAATATTTTCCATCCTCTTAAATAGAGTTATACTTCTGAAATTCAGATCCCCCCCACCCTTTTTTTTTTAGTATGAAAGAGGATGACAGAGATAGAGATCTTCCATTTGCTGATTCATACTCAGGGCTGGACCAGACTGACTAGCTGGACTCAAACTGGCACTATGATATGGGATGCAGGCAGTGCAGTTTCACCCTCTGTGCCACAATACCAGCCCCAGAATGTATTTTTAAAAGATATACAATGATGATTGTATACATGAAAAGAAGCTCAACACTGAAAATTAGGGAAGCACAACATTCAAACCATGCTGAGATCTCGTCACTTACTACAATGGCTAAAATTTAGAAGAGTGATAATCAAGGGACTGATGTTAAGCGGTACTGTGTTAAGCTGCTGCTTGCAGCTTCTGCATCTCACATGGGAATGGTTGTTCAAGTCCCAGCTGCTCCGCCTCCAGTCCAGCTCCATGCTATTGCACCTGGGAAAGCATCAGAAGATGACCCACGTACTTGGGTACTCGCTACCCACATGGGAGGCCTGGATGGAATTCTTGCCTTCTGGCTTCAGCCTGACTCAGTCCATCTTGGCTGCTATTTGGGGAGTGGATGGTGAATGGAAGATCTCTTTGTCACCCTCTCTGTCACTCTGCCTTTCTGATTAAAAAAAAAAAATCTTTAAAAAAAAAAAAAAAAGGTAGAGATGGGGGAGTGGCATTATGGCACAGTGGGTTAAGCCACTGCTTTTGATGCTGGCATCGCATGTCAGAAAGCAGATTTAAGTCTCTGCCATTCCGCTTCCAATCCAGCTTCTTCCTAGTGTGCCTGGGAAAGTGGTGCAAGGATGGCCCAAGTACTTGGAACCTGTCCTCCACGTGGGAGACCTGGATGGAGTTCTGGGCTCCTAGTTCTGACCATCTCTAGCTGTTGTGTCAATTTGGAAAGTGAACCAGTGGGTGCAAGATCTCTTTCTTTGTGTTTCTCTCTCTCTGTGTCACTCTGCCTTTGAAATAAAAGGATAAATCTTAAAAAAAAAAAAAAAATTACCAGGAAGTGAACAGATGACGATAGAAAGATGTTTTTTTGTCTTGGACTTACTAGGAATGTCCTTATTAACTTTAGCGTCTTACTGCTAACTTTCGGTTAGTATTTTAGTGCAAGCAGTTCCTGATTTCCAAACACTGTGAGGGGGCAGCAGGGAAGTCTACAAATCTGATCTAGTACTCCTACATTTTGTGGTAGTCCTTGCTCTTAATCTGTTACTTTCTTCTTCTTTTAGCCTATCAACAATTTAATACAAACTGCTAGTGCAGTTACAGAAAATAAGATACTGATGTCTAGGAATTCAGAACTGTCGGAAAGTATTAAATACATTTTTATAGGTGCCCAAAAGGCATTTATAACTAGTTAGTGCTATTGAATTGTAGTAATCTTAGCTCTGTGAAATGCTTTAGATGTGAGTTTTTAATGGTAAAGAGACAAAGTAGCCTTTGAGTGAGGGCCAAGGAGATCCAATTAACAGTAAACCATGGGAGCTGCCTGCAGTGCCGGCATCCCATATGAGTGCCAGTTGCAGTCCCGGCTGCTCCGCTTCTGATCCAGCTCTCTGCTTATGATCTGGGAAAGCAGAAGATGGCCCAGGTGCTTGGACCCTTGCACCCATGTGGGAGACCCAGAAGAAGCTCCTAGCTCCTGGTTTGGATTGCAAGAGTTATAGAGAGGCAGAGAGAGAGAGAGGTCTTCCATCCGCTGGTTCACTCCCCAAATGGCTGCAATGGCTGTAGCTGGGCCAGGCCAAACCAGGAGCCAGGAGTTTCATCTGGGTCTCCCATATGGGTACAGGGGCCCAAGTAATTGGGCCATCTTCTGCTTTCTCAGGCATATTAGCAGAGAGCTAGATTGGAAGTGGAGCAGCCAGGACTTGAACTAGTGTCCATATGGATGCCAGTGCTGCAGCGCTGGCCCCAGTATGTCACTTTTGTATTAGTTTTAGGAATTGTGAGAGCCCTCCTAACGTCCAAATCCCAAGATGCCAACCAAGGGCCTTTGAAAGCAGACCTTTCTTAAGATAAGTAGGCAAGGGCTACACCATTGCTTTTCTTTTTTCTTTTTTGTAGTGCGGTTGTTGTTTGTTGTTGTTTTTTTTTTTTTTTAATATTTATTTTATTTATTTGAAAAACAGAGTTATATAGAGAGAGGAAGCCATAGAAGGAAGGAAATCTTCCATCTGCTGGTTCACTTCCCAAATGGCCACAAGGGCCAGGCCTGGGCCAGACCGAAGCCAGGAGCCAGGAGCTTCCTCTGGCTCTCCCAAGTGGGTGCAGGGGCCCAACAATTTGGGCCATCTGCCATTGCTTTCCCAGGCTCACTAGCAGGAAGCTGGATCAGAAGTGGAGTAGCTGGGACTCAAACCAGCACCCACAAGGGCTGCTGGAGTTGCAGGGTGGCAGCTTTACCTGCTCTGCCATAATGCTGGCCCCTACACCATTGCTTTTCTATACAATATGTTGCCCCATTGTTTCAATTTGCTTTTCCTTAGTTATTAGTGAAATGAGACATATTTTAGTTCTAAAAGTTTTTAAATGAATCATCTGTCTTTTGTCCATTTGTTAGCTCTGATTTATTTGTATGAGTATTTGTTATTAATATTATTTGGTGGTAGTAGTGTTAGTTTTTATTTTAGTGCAGAAGTTAATCTGTATTTTGGTCTGTTTTATAGCATTACATCATTTTCTTTTTTAAGATTTATTTATTTCAAGACAGAGTTACAGAGTGAGAGAGGGAGAGACAGAGATCTTATATCCACTGGTTCACCACCGAATGGCAGCAATAGCCCAGGCTTGCCCAGGCGGAAGCCCCAGGAGCCAAGAACTTCATCTAGGTCTCCCACATAGGTGCGGGGGCCTAAGTACTTAGGCCATCTTCCGCTGTTTTGTTTTGTTTTTAAAGATTTATTTATCTGAAAGAGTTACAGAGAGAGAGAAGGAGAGGCAGAGAGAGAGATAGAGAAATCTTCCATCTGCTAGTTCACTCCCCAGTTGGCTGCAATGGCTGCAGCTACGCTGATCCGAAGCCAGGAGCTTCTTCCGGGTTTCCCACACAGGTGCAGGGGCCCAAGGACTTGGGCCATCTTCTACTGATTTCCCAGGCCATAGCAGAGAGCTGGATCAGAAGTGGAGCAGCCGGGATATGAACTGGCGCCCATGTAGGATGCTGGCTCTGCAGGCGGTGGCTTTACCTGGTGCGCCACAGTGCCAGCCCTGTCTTCCACTGCTTTCCCAGGCACATTAGCAGGGAGCCGGATTAGAAGTGGAACAGCCGGGACTCGAACAGGCACCCAAACGGAATGCCAGTGTTACAGGAAGCAGCTTAACCTGTTATAATACAGAGCCAGCCCAGTAGCATCATTTTCCTTCTAAATGACTTACTGATATTATAAGGTTTAAATTTTGCTTTATAGTTTTGACTTCTAGAAAATATTAGACTTGTAATATTATCAGTTTGCTTTTAAGGATGATACAGAGTGAACTTATTCAGTGTGTCCAAATTTGAAAGTTGCTTTTTAACTTGAATCTAAGTTTATTCTCTGAATTGTGAGGTTAATTTTAACAGACATTTTATATTTTATATTTAATACCTTAGATGGCGACTGTCAAAAGGAAATAGAATCATGGCAGCAGATGATGACAATGGTGATGGAACCAGTTTATTTGATGCCTTTTCTGGTAAGTATTACTTTAAATTTTCTTTCTAAATTCACTTTAAATTACAAAAAGTGCTCAGGTTTGATTCCTGCCTCAAGCTCCTAATTCCCGCTTACTGCTAGTATAGACACTGTAGGTAGTGGTGATGACCCAAGTAATTGGGTTCCTGCCACCCATGTGGGAGACCTGGATTGCATTCTGGCTCCCAGCTTTGGCCCAGTCCTGGCCATTGTGGGTCTTTGGGGAGTGAACCAGCAGATTGGATCTATCTGTCTCTTTCTCTTTCAGTCTCTGTGCCTGTCACATAAATATTGTTTTAAAAAATTTTGATTTATGTGGCACAGTGGATTAAGTTGCCACCTGTGATGTAGGCATCCCATATGAGTGCTGGCTGCTCCACTTCTCTCCAGTTCCCTGGTAATGTGCTGGGAAAACAGTGGAAGATGGCCCAAATGATTGGGCCCCTGCCATCCACATTGGAGACCTGGATGGGGTTCCAAGCTCCTGACTTCTGGCTGACCTAGCCCTGGCCATTGCGGCTGTTTGGAGAGTGAACTATTGGATGAAGGATTGCTCTCTCTTTTTTTTCTCTTTCTCTTCTCTCCTTCTCTCTAACTCTGCCTTTCAAATAAATCTTTTTTTGTTTTTAAGATTTATTTATTTATTTGAAAGTCAGAATTACAGAGAGGCAGAGAGAAATAAATCTTTCATCCATTGATTCACTCCACAAATGGCTGCAGTGGCTGGAGCTGAGCTGATCTGATCTAAACCAGGAGCCAGGAGCTTTTTCAACACTGCAACACTGGCATCAGAAGAGGATGCCAGTGGTGAAGTCATAAATCTTTGTACCAACATCTCCCTGTTGTAAGTATGTGGAAAAGTTTGTTTCTTTTTTGGCAGGTAAAACTTAATCAAGTTTCTTTTTCTGGTCCTTCAGAGTAAGAGTGGGAAAACCTGATTTCATAAAGTCAATTTTAATGAGTCTTTGCTTTTTTTGCAGCTTCTCCTCTTAAAAATAATGATGAAGGCTCATTGGACATATATGCTGGGTTGGACAGTGCTGTTTCTGGTATGTAAATTTGATCAAAATAATTTCATTTTTGTTTAGTCCATTTGTTTTTGTTTTGTTGTTACTAAATGCTGATAAAACTCATAGCTTCTAAACATTTTGCCCATTCTTTGAAATTATTAAGCTCAAGTAATTATTTTCTTACTTTTCTTAATTGTTTGATCAATAAAACACATTAGCATACAGGTTTGTTACTCATTTAGTTTTCATATGTAATTAGATCTGGTGCAAAAAATATTTGGTACCCTTGAAATACAACCAACACTGGCATCTGAACATATATTACTACTTGTTTTGTCACAGATCGTATGAAGTTAGAACAGTTTTTATGTATAATAAGTATTTTCAAATGTATTAGTAAAAATGATATGAGTAGAGTCTAAGGACTTAACATAAATTTGAAACTTTTCCCATAATCAGCTCTCTCAATGTTTTGAACAGATAGAATCATCACACTTAATTTGTTGACACAACCATTTTAGGTACACTTTGGCTGTCATCTATGATATCAGTGTAGATTTGAATGAAATGTAGGAGGTTGAGAAAAATGAGATAGACACAACATCAAAATCTTAACAAATACTTCAGTATAAGAGTTTTTTGTTTGTTTTAGACAGTGCTTCCAAATCCTGTGTACCATCCAGAAATTGCTTGGATTTATATGAAGAGATCCTGACTGAAGAAGGAACTGCAAAAGAGGCAACATATAATGATGTATGGATTGCCACAGTTATTAAGGACAGTTAATTACTCTTGTAGCTCCTGAAGAGCAGGCAGCAGCTAACTATTGAACAAATACTCTTAAGGAACTAAAACACAGATTGAGAAAATAAGTTTCTGCCTTTAGACCTGCTTTTTAAATGACTTCTGAATTTGTCTAAATTTAGTTACAGTTTTGCTTGACTAAATTTAAATGTCTGAATATGTAAAACCTCAAAAGGCAATCAAGTGGAATGTAAAATTTTATCTTTTTATAATTAGTACTAAATTTTATTGTATGTTTCACAAAATGTCCTGAGATTTAAATGAGACAGAGTTCTTCCTTACCATACGTGAATTATCAGGTTTGGACGCTGAATGTAAAACTAAAAAAATGTGTTATTGGTAGGCCCTACTTTAAAAACCAGTAATCTTACTAAATACCTCTTAGTAGAAGTATACTTCATCTGTCCTTCTTAGTGGATTTATTTACAAAACTTAAAATACTTTGAAATGCAAAATGTCATTTAAGTTAAAAAATACTTTGTTTAAAATAATGCTGAAATTAATCCTTTTTATATTTTACAGTTACAGGTAGAATATGGAAAATGTCAGCAACAGATGAAAGAGCTAATGAAAAAGTTTAAGGAAATACAGACACAGGTAGAACTATGACTTTTTTCTTTTGCCTTGTTAACTTTTTAAAATCAACTTTAAAAATAATTGTCATTAATATGTAATTAAAATGTGAAACTGTTGGCAGTTTTCTTAGTATTAAATGAATTAGTAAATCTGACAAAATATGCATTATTCCTTGAGTCGATGAAATTGATATAGGAAAATTGCTTGATTTGTTAAATGATAATGAAAGAGCTGTTAAACCAGTTAATCGTTAAATAATAGAAAATTAGTAGGGTTAATGATGGGTGATTCAAGAGGCAATGGTTTTGAGGAGCAAATGTGGAAGAATGGTGATGCCGCCACAGTTTTTGCTAGAATATGTGGCAGAAATCAACTGTCAGGGTAGATGTTGTGGCAAAGCTGGTTAAGCAGCCTCTTGTGATGCACACATCCCATATCTGAGTGCCTAGGCTTGAGTCCCACCTTGGTTCTGATCCACCTTCCTGTTAATGTGCACCCTGGGAGGCAGGGGATGATGGCTCAAGTACTTCAGTTCCTGCCACCCATGAGGGAGACCTGGATGGAGTTGCTGGCTCCTGGCTTCGGCATGTCCCAGTCCCAGCTGTTCTTAGAAAGTGAATCAGCAGATGGAAAATCTTTCATTTTCTCTGCCTTTCAAATAAAAAAAAAAAATAAAATAAAATCAGGACTATCATGTTCTATTCTGATTTAGGCAGGGATAAAGTATTTCTTCTCCCGTTCTGAAAGAAGGTCAACTCTTCATTCCTCTTTGCTTATGTGAAAATTAATTACTACAAATTCAGCATAAGTTAATAAATAAACTTATTTTCAATTTTCAGGATAATGACCAAACAGAATATTGTTTTCTGCTTTTTATTTCATTTTTCATTGTGATCCCTGGTTTTAAGCGGTTGTTCTTTAGGTGAGCTTTTTCTAGTGCCTGTTATCTTTTCTTAGTCTCAGCTTCCCTGTCTGTACAATGGCGATAATTGTGCTTCTCATAGGTCTTTTTTTCTTTTTTGTAAGATTTATTTGAAAGGCAGAGTTACAGGAAGAGAGGGAGAGACAGAAAAAGAGAAATCTTCCATCTGCTAGTATACTACCCAATGGCCACAACAGCCTGCACATTAGCAGGGAGCCCAATTAGAAGTGGAACAGCCAGGACTCAAACTGGCACTCACATGACTTGCCTGCATCACAACACCGAGCTCTCAGGGCTTTTTTTAGAATGACATAAAGCACATCTGTGATGCCTATCATGTAGCTAGCATTCACTAATTATTAGATAATGTAAGTTGTAGTGTTGATCCTGAAGACATGTCCTTTATTGATATATATGTTATGGTATTTTAGAATTTCAGCTTAAAAAATGAAAACCAGTCTCTTAAGAAGAATATTTCAGCACTTATCAAAACTGCCAGGGTGGAAATAAACCGTAAAGATGAAGAAATAAGTAATCTTCACCAAAGGTATAACTGAGGGGTATAAATCTGTCATAAATTAAATTTGTATTGATATGTGAGATATTTTTAGCTTTTAGTGGAAAGATGAGAGTCATGTATTTTTTAAATATTTAGGCTTTAATGTGAGTAATGACTAATGTTATATTGATATATTATCATAATAACTTGTGATTATTAATAGAACATCACCACATACCTTTCTGAATATATTCAGTTTTCTAAAACACTGGGATCTTGCTCTGGTATTCTTTGTCCCCAAGAAGATGATGGTGTATATTATGTCTTGGGTTCTTTTAGGTCCCCCAAGTTATCACAATATCAAGATGGCATCTGTGCCCACACCCTGTTAATAAATAGCCCTTAAACCATCTCTCAGGTGTACATTCTTTTTCCTCTTAAGTGAATGTTCTCTCAATTTTGCTTTTTTATTTGGGGATAGTATTCTACTTCAGAGAAGTTTCTGTCTCTCCTTCCCTCCATAGCCAAACCTCTGAAAAGTTGTCTAAAGTTGCTTGCTGTTTCCATTTCTTCTCTTTTTGCTCACTCAAGTTAATTTGACTTATGCCTGTGTTGATCTACCATAGCAGTTGTCATTTTGGCTCACAGTGACTGCCACTAAGTCCATCGAATAGTTGTGTCTCATAGTATAATTTGTCCTTTCACACAGTGCTCGGCACAGTTGACTCCTTCTTAAAGTTACCTCTCTCTTTGGCTTTCGTGATTTAATGGTTTTTAGTTTTCTGCCTGAGATTTATTCTTCTGTACTTAGCTGTTAAAAGTTCAAGTTCCTCAGAGCTTAAACCTATTTCTTTTACTTTCTACATCAGTATTCTTAGGTTATCTCACCCATGTTAGATCAGTTCTATTTATATATAGGTAACCATTTCTTATCTGTACATAGATGGTTTCAAAGGTTTTTCACAACTGTTTCATTCAAAAATAAATAAATTTATCATCAATACTTTTCTGTTGTTCTCTAGCTCAGTGGATTGTCCTGTCATTTATTCAGTTAATGCAAGCTAGAGACTTGGGAAGTGACCATTTAATTTATCATCCAAACCAGGATACTTCTGTGAGTGGGAAGAAGTGCTATCAATAATTACATTTGGATTGCTTGGCAAACTGAGACAGAGTCATCCTACCTAGGAGTTCTCACTGGTGCTTGAGTTTCAGTATCATCCCTCACATCCAATTCATTTTCATGTCGTGTTGATTTTTATGTCTTTTTGATCTCTGAAACTATCACTTCTACTTTTATTATTGCCCATCTACTCTCCTGAATTGGCAGTAGTCTTTGTGTTGCAATCCATGCTCTGTAGCCTCTGGTTTGTCCCTTTCTATTACAGCCACAGGACACGTTCTGAAGCATACAAATCTGGACATCTCATTGTCCCCAAAGTTACCCCTGGCCCTCACCAACACACATACCCATCTTTATTTATCCATTTAAGAAAGTGGTTTACTCCTCAAATGCCCACGGTAGCTAGGGCTGGACCATAATAAACTTGGGAGTTGAGAATCAGTCCTGATCTCACATGTGGGTGGCAGGGATCTAAGTACTTGTTCTGTTACTTGCTGCCTCCTGGGGTGCACATTAGCAGGACTAGCCTGCCTCATATCCTCCTTTTTAAAAATTAAAACACATCCATGTCTTCCTTGTTCTTAAGATAAAAGACTAATTCTTAACTTGGCACCTAAGATCCAAATTACTTCTCAAGACTACCTTCATTGTTTACCTTTGCCTTAAATATCATAACTTTGTCCTAGCTCTGGCATTCTTTCAGTCTCTTGGGTGTACATGAGCTGTGTATTCGAAATATTTTCCACGGCCTTTATTGCTCCTTTCCACCTGCTAGATCCTTATCTACTCATTCTCCAGTCTTTGTTCAAAACATTGTCACAGGGAATATTTGCCTATTCTCTTTAACAAAGTCAAAATTGTCTTTTATAGTTTTATGTACACTTGCAGTTTTTCAGATCACAAACATAGTTACTTGATGAGTATCTTTTCTCTTCCGTTAAACTATAAGCTTCATGGGCTGGCGCCACGGCTCACTAGGTTAATCCTCGGCCTGCGGTGCCGGCACCCCGGGTTCTAGTCCCGATCGGGGTGCCGGATTCTGTCCTGGTTGCTCCTCTTTCAGTTCAGCTCTCTGCTGTGGCCCGGGAGTGCAGTGGAGGATGGCCCAAGTCCTTGGGCCCCGCACCCGCATGGGAGACCAGGAGAAGCACCTGGCTCATGGCTTCGGTTCAGCGTGGTACGCTGGCCGCAGCGCGCCAGCTATGGTGGCCATTGGGGGGTGAACCAATGGAAAAGGAAGACCTTTCTGTCTGTCTCTCTCACTGTCCACTATGCCTGTAAAAAAAAAACAAAACACAACACACACACAAACACACACACACAAACTATAAGCTTCATGGAATATGGACCATGTCTGCTTTCTAATCATTTTTGCAAACATCTAGCATAGTGCCTGACACATGATAGATGATAAATGAAGTAAAATGAGTGACAAAAATCCCATGGTTTACACAATTTGGTATTATAGAGTAATATTCTTTATGCCTTTTGAAAATAATGAGAAAACAAAAGATAGCCATGTGTGCTTATTAACCTAAATCATTTCACCTAGTGCAACTAATATGAGATTGGTTCCTGAATTGTCAGGACAATTTATTTATTTTTGACAAGCAGAGTGGACAGTGAGAGAGAGAGAGACAGAGAGAAAGGTCTTCCTTTTTGCCGTTGGTTCACCCTCCAATGGCTGCCGCGGCTGGCGCACTGCAGCCGGTGCATCGCGCTGATCCGAAGCCAGGAGCCAGGTACTTATCCTGGTCTCCCATATGGGTGCAGGGCCCAAGTATTTGGGTCATCCTCCACTGCACTCCCTGGCCACAGCAGAGAGCTGGCCTGGAAGAGGGGCAACCAGGACAGAATCCGGCGCCCAGACCGGGACTAGAAGCTGGTGTGCCGGCGCCGCAAGGCGGAGGGTTAGCCTATTGAGCCATGGCGCTGGCTCAGGACAATTTTATATTTACATATTTGAGTCTCCTCAGAGAGGAGCATGATGTTTGTACAGGGGAAAAAAACTGGGTGAATAAATGAATCTAATATGAAGTTACATATTAGATTGTTTGATGTGGTAATACCTTACCTTAAAAATATTCTGTCAAATATTCACATTATTTTAATGAACTATAGCTAGTATTTGTAATGGTATATGTTTATCATTTGGTTGAAATTTAGTATTTAATGAATAGAAAATTTGAAATACACACACATACACACACACATATTTAAAGATCAATTTGTTTGAAAGGCAGAGTTAGAGGGAAAGATAGAGAACTTCCATCTGCTGGTTCACTCACCAAATGGCCATAATGGCCAAGGCTGGGCTAGGCCAAAGCCAAGAGTGAGGGGCTTCTGGGTCTCCCATGTGGGTGCAGGGGTCTGAAGACCTGGGCTGTCTTCTTCTGCTTTCCCAGGCACATTAGCAGAGACTGAATCAGAAGCTGAACAGCCAATACTGGAACCTGTGCCAACATGGGATGCAGCATCAAGCATCACAGGCGGCAGCTTAACCTGCTGTACCATAACACTGGCCCCAGAAGTTCTTTTTTTTTTTTTTAAGATTTATTTTATTTATTTGAAAGACAGAGTTACAGAGAGAGGTAGAGACAGAGAGAAAGGTCTTCCACCCGCTGGTTCACTTCCTAGGTGGATGCAGTGTCCGGAACTAAGCCAATCTGAAACCAGGAGCCAGAGCTTCTTCCGGTTCTCCCACGTGGGTGCAGGGGCCCAAGGACTTGGGCCATCTTCTACTGCTTTCCCAGGCGATAGCAGAGAGCTGGATCAGAAGAGGAGCAGCCGGGACTAGAACCAGTGCTCATATGGGATGCCAGCGCTTCAGGCCAGGGCGTTAACCCTCTGCGCCACAGTGCTGGCCCCCACCCAAAAGTTCTTAGCAAAATGTGATTTATCAGGGATTCTTCTTTTATAGGTAGTTTTTTTTTTTTTACGTTCACGTTTTCCCAGTTGTTTCAAAGGTGTCTGCTAACTGCCATGTCACAATTTGTGTTAGCTTCTTAGGGCTATCATAACAGAAGTTCCACATACCTCTGGCTTAAACAGAAATTTATTGTTTCACAGTTCTGGAGGCTAGAAAGTCCAAAATTAAGGTAATGAGAAAATTGGTTTTGTTTAAAGATTCTGAGGGAACAATATGTTCTAGGCCTTTGTTTTCTCAGCTTATAGATAGTTGTCTTCTTCCTGTGTCTGTTTCTGATATGAAAGAAGAAATTCGGACACAGTCATTGGATTTGGTTCTACCTTAATGATCTTAGTTGACTTGATTTTCTCTAAAATCCGTTTTCAAATAAGGTCATAATTCTGAAGTACTATGTGTTAGAACTTTAACTTAGGAATTTGTGGGTAGAGGTGGAAGGGGGTGGGAGATAATGTAACTTTTTTTTTTTTTTTAAGATTTATTTATTTGAAACGCGGGGTGGGGGGAGATCTTCCATCAGCTGGCTCACTCCCCAAATGACTGCAATGGCCAGGGCTGGGCCAGAAGCTTCTTCCTGGTCTCTCATGTGGATGCAGGGGCCCAAGCACTTGAGCCATCTTCTGCTGCTTTCCCAGGCGCACTAGAAGGGAGCTGGATCAGAAGTGGAGCAGCTGGGTCTTGAACTGGCACTCAAATAGGATGCTTGCATCACAGAAAGCAGCTTAAACTGCTATGCCACAACTCTGGCCCCACAATTTAGCTCTTAATAGGATCCATGTAATGCTTACATTGCCTTAGGTTGTATGTCTTCTAATTTTCTAAGTCTTTTTTTTTTTTTTTTTTTTAAGATTTATTTTATTTATTTGAAAGGCTGAGTAAGAGACAATGAGAGAGATAGAGGTCTTCTGTCTGCTGGTTCACTTACCAAGTAGCCACAACCACCAGGGTTTGACCAGGCCAAAGCCAGGAGCCAGGAGCTTCTTCAGATCTTCCCCATGGGTGCAGGGTCTAAGCTCTTGGGCAATACTCGTTTGCTTTCCCAGGCCGGTTAGTAGGGAGCTGGATCAGAAAAACAACCAGGACTTGAACCAGCACCCATATAGGATGCGGGTTCTGCAGGCATGGCTTAAGCTGCTATGTCCTAACACCAGATTCCCTCTTTTGTTTTATACCAAAAATTCACCACCTTTATTTCTGTTTTTAAGTTTTGGTTTTTGTACTAATATAATAGATTAGAAATATGAGGGTTTGTGGAAATTCAAGGAATTTGAATTTACTTAAGATTAGGAAAATCAACTTCTACACCGTTAAAGTGAGCTATGTATATTTTATTGCCAAAAAAACTACCAGTTTGGTGGAGATGTTTGGCAAAGTGGTTAAATCTCTACTTGGGATACCCACATCAAATATTGGAATCACTATTCCAATTTGGCACCCCTTGATCCAGTTTCCTGCTAATGTGCACCCTGGGAGGCAACAGATGATGGTTCAGCTGCTTGTGTCTCTGCCACCCATGTGGGAGACCCTGAATGAGTTCCAGGCTCCCAGCTAGCCCAGCTGTTATGGGCATTTTGAGAGTGAACCAATGCATGGGAGATCCTCATGGCCCTATGCTTTTCTACCTTTCAAATACATGAAAAGGTGGGGGGGACCCACAAAAATACAGCTACCAGTTTTTCTGAACACCTTAAGACCTAGGCTTTAAAAAAAACAAAAATGAATATATTCCATTCTTGTAGAAAAAAGAATTCTATATTCCTTTTTATTTTTGTATAGTGTAACCCACCTTAAGATGGCTATTGATGCTTTGGCTTACCGTGGGGTTTATGTGAAATAGAAAATTAGGATAGGAAATTACCCAGAGTTCTACTTTGATCATGTTTGTTTTTCAGCAAGATTTCACTTTCCTTTTGTTTCATTTGGGGTAGAGTGAATGTGGGAAAGAAAATAATGTAATTTGTTGTACAGGACGAGAGCTTTAGTTAGTTTGGAAGTTGTGTACCTGTGGTAAAGAAGTAAAAGGCACTTTCTGGGATAAATCTGATAGGTCTTCAAGACTTCTTTGAGCAAAGCAAGTAAGAGAGCATTCTTTAGTTAGAAGTTAAGTATCACCACTTATTCTTCATTGCCAAGTAAAATTTATTTTTCCAGAGCATAGGTACCTATGTTTTAAAAGTATGTCACATATGAACAGAATTTGGAATATTATTAAATACCAGTTAACTTAGCTGTGTTTCTTACTTTCTGTTCGTCAATAGATTGTCTGAATTCCCACATTTTCGAAATAATCATAAATCTGCAAGGACTTCATCAGATGCAATTAAAGCAAAAGATCTTAAATCTAAGTCTCCTCATTTGGATGATTGTTCAAAGACTGATCACAGAACTAAAAGTGATGTTTATAAAGATGTACATCATAGTGCTTCACTGCCAAATCTAGAAAAAGAAGGAAAACCACATTCTGATAAAAAGAACACTTATTTGCCTACATCTCTGGAGAAGCATTGCACCAATGGCATTTGGTCACGCCCCCATTATCAGGGTGGTGAAGGTAGCTCAAATGAGGATAATAGAAGAGGAAGAAAAGATACTAAACATAGCCAGCACAGCAAAGGAACTGATCGAATACGAAAAGACTCGAGTATTAGCTGTGGTGATAGTGAACCAAGAAACATAGAGGGTAATCAAAGACTACAAGGACGTCCTGAGAAACATGGTAAAGGTGAACCAAAGGCTGAAAGCAGAAGTTCAAAGTTTAAAAGTAACACAGATTTGGATTATAAAAGTGAACGTAGCAGCTATTCTTGGGATAAAGAAACTTTGCGAGAAAGGTCACATACTCGAGTAGAATCTCAAAATGACAAAAAACTGGAAAGACAAAATGAGAGATCACAAAATATAAATAGAAAGGAACTTAAATCACAAGACAAAGAGGAAAGAAAAGCTGATCAGAAACCTAAATCAGTAGTGAAGGACCAGGATCCCTGGAGAAGATCTGAGCGAGAATCACTGAATCACTTCAAGAAATCTCATAATTTAGATAAACACCATCTAGAAGAGAGAAGAGGAAGGGAAGATTGCAAGAGAGACAGGATTGTAAGCAATCATAGTTTTCAAGATGGAAGATCTTCATCTTCTCTTTCAAGTAGAACTCACAAACGTATTGACTCTAAAGAAGTAGATGCTGGGCACCAATGGGAAAATACACCATTAAAAGCAGAAAGGCACAGAACTGAAGATAAGAGGAAAAGAGAACGAGAAAGCAAAGAAGAAAATAGGCATATGAAAACTGAAAAAAAATTACCTGTAGAATATTTGCAGAAAATTAATAAAGAAGCCAAGAAAACCACTACTGATTTAAAGAGACAAAACGAGCCAAAAAATGACAAATGTGAAGCCTCTGATAATGAAGTTTCTGAAGTAGATAAGAAAACTGCAGTGAAAGCTGAGAGTGGTCCAAGTGACACAAAAAGCAAAGACTTAAAGCTAAGTTTTATGGAAAAATTGAACTTAACTCTTTCCCCTGCTAAAAAGCAGCCTATTTCTCAGGATAATCAACATAAAATAACTGATTCTCCCAAGTCCAATAATGTATGTGATTTGGAATCCTCAGTGCATGCTAAAACAGTGTTGTGTGTTAATTCTGTCAGTGAACATGTCACAGAGGAAACCAAATCAAAGTTGTTGAAACCAAAGGATGTTCTCCCAGCGGCATCTGAATCTAAGATCGATGTTTCAGGAAGCCAAATGGAAGAAGATAATAGTTTGTTAGTTAAATCTGTTGAGAGTACTATGCATTTTGAATTGCCTACTGGTACAGAGACATCCTCAGCAGCTGTAGAAATGGAAAAAACAGATTCCTTGTTCCCATCAAGAGAAATGGAACAAACAAGAGCAGCAGCCTCTGTGGTAATGGATGTATTACAAACTGATGCTTCTCAAAACTTTAGCATGGAATTGGATACCAAAAAAAATGATAATTTAAATTCTAGTGGTGTTTCTGAAGATGTGGAAATGAAGTTGACTCTTGTAACAAAAGTGACTGAAAACAGTGAAAGCATTTTGCAGCCTTCAATTGAAGAAGCTAGCATTTTGCCAATAATCCTTTCAGAACATGGTAACTCAAAATTTGAGCCTTCTCTTGTAGACGATACACCACTGACTGAAAGTAAGTCTTGTCATTTGGAGTCTTGCTTACCTAAAGAGACTCTAGAACCTTCACTTCAGCAGACTGAATTAATGGACCAGAAAGTGGAAATTGGTGAAACAAATTCAATATATCATGATGATGAGAACTCCGTTTTGAGCATTGACTTCAATCATCTGAGACCTATTCCAGAAGCCATCAGTCCTCTGAATAGTCCAGTGAGACCTATAGCAAAAGTTCTTAGAATGGAAAGCCCCTCTCGAGTTCCATTGTGTAATAACAGTCATAAAGGTAATTATAATCTATAAATCATCTTTTTGTGAAAATAAAAAATACTTAAGATAAATGGATGCTCTTTTTACAAAGAAATTATTTGTTTGAAAGGCAGAGCAGAAGAGAGCAAGGATGCTACAGAGGGGATGTTCCATCCACTGGTTCGCTTCCCTGTTGGCCACAACAGCCACTTTGAAACCAGGAACCAGGAATTCCATCCTGGTCTCCCCTGTGAGTGGCAGAGACCTGCATACTTGGGCCATCTTCCATTGCCTTCCCAGGCATATTAGCTGGAAACTAGATTGGAAGTAGAGTAGCTGGGACTCAAACAAGCACTGCAATGTGGGATACCAGCAACATAAGGAGTGGCTTAACCTGTATGCCACAACCTCTTTCTTTTTTGATAACATAGAAAATAACATCCAGATTTAGTTGATACCCAGACAGGTACCTGAGCCTCTTCTCTCAAATTCCTATGATTTTTCTCTTTAAGCTTTTGACAGGCAGAGTGGACAGTGAGAGACAGAGAGAGAAAGGTCTTCCCTTTTGCCGTTGGTTCACCCTCCAATGGCCGCCGCTGCAGCTCGCGCACCCGCGTTGATCTGATGGCAGGACCCACGAATCCAGGTGCTTTTTCATGGTCCTGCCATGGGGGCCAGGGCCCAAGCAACATGGGCTATCCTCCACTGCACTCCCTGGCCATAGCAGAGAGCTGGCCTGGAAGAGGGGCAACCGGGACAGAATCCGGCGCCCCGACCAGGACTAGAACCCGGTGTGCCGGCGCCGCAAGGTGGAGGATTAGCCTATTGAGCCACGGCGCCGGCCTTCTCTCTCAATTTAAGTACTTCTTAATTCTATATACAAAAGGGAACTGTGGGACAGATTGTTTCAATTGCTGTTTACTTGCTTTCAGATACATTTTTATTGTTCAGTATTGTTTACTTGCTTTCAGATATATTTTTATTGTTCAGAATCCATCGTCAAATGGTAGAGTAGGTGATACTATTTAAATGAAATAAACCCTGAACAGTTTGTTGGTGATTATCTAAATGACAAAACTTCTCACTTTTCACACCTTCTGAACACTTTTTAAGATCAAAGACCATTGAAATTAATTTTAGGGGCCGGCGCCGCGGCTCACTAGGCTAATCCTCCACCTTGTGGCGCCGGCACACTGGGTTCTAGTCCCGGTTGGGATGCTGGATTCTGTTCTGGTTGCCCCTCTTCCAGGCCAGCTCTCTGCTGTGGCCGGGGAGTGCAGTGGAGGATGGCCCAAATACTTGGGCCCTGCACCCCATGGGAGACCAGGAAAAGTACCTGGCTCCTGCCATTGGATCAGCGCAGTGCACCGGCCGCAGCACACCAGCCGCGGCGGCCATTGGAGGGTAAACCAACGGCAAAGGAAGACCTTTCTGTCTGTCTCTCTCACTGTCCACTCTGCCTGTAAAAAAAAAAAAAAGAAAAGAAAAAAAAATTAGTTTTAGGCATTCACATTCTGCTTTTAAAAGAAAAAATGAGTTGGCTCAGTATTAATTTTTTTTATATTTAGTATGAAAATATCAAATTATAAAGACTCAATGGCCATATTTAATATACTTTTCTCTTTTACAGATGTGTTTCCACCAAATTCAGTTCATTCTATCTCCAGGTCAGATCTCAATAAGGAAAATCAAAAGCCATTCTATAAAGCTGACAAATGTACAGAAGCAGATTCCTGTAAGGATTCATCTTTAGATGAATTAGAAGAAGGAGAAATTATAAGTGACAATGAAAAATCTGAACCACAAAAAAATTTTGAAAAAAGTGCCAAACCTAGAGCATCTGCTGAAGTGCGGAACACAAAGACTAGTCCACCAAGTAGGAAAAGTTCTATGTGCTTGGATAAGGATAATAGGAAAACATCTGTAAAAATCCATCAGACCAGCAGCAAATGGAATAAAAGACCAAGGGAATCTAACAGATATTCAAAAACAGAGAAGAAAGATAAAACAATGAGTACTTCCTGCTTGGAAAAAATAGTTCAAATTGTTGCTGCACCCTCTTCTGTTCGAGAGATTATGCACATGTTAAGAATGATAAGAAAACATGTGAGGAAAAATTACATGAAATTCAAGATAAAATTTTCATTAAGACAATTTCATAGAATTATTGAGTCAGCAATTTTGAGTTTTACATCACTAATTAAACATCTTGACTTATCCAAAATCTCTAAGTCAGTGACTACTTTACAGAAGAATCTCTGTGATGTTATAGAATCTAAACTTAAGCAAGTTAAAAAGAATGGAATAGTTGACCGTTTATTTGAACAGCAACTATCAGATATGAAAAAAAAATTGTGGAAGTTTGTAGATGAACAACTTGATTATTTATTTGCAAAACTTAAGAAAATCTTAGTAAAGTTTTGTGATTCCATTAATTTTGGAAGTGACAGTGATGAAGGAAAACTTGATAAAAGAAGTAAAGAGAAAGTACGATATTCAAATTGTGAGAACGGTCATGTGGACAACTCCAACAAAGAAATGCTAAAAGAAAAATTGCCAAAACCAGGAGACTCTGTTCACTTGAAGTCTTTATTGGAAAGTGAAAAACCTGAGGAAAAATGTCAAGACCAAAATAACTCCAATATCAATGCAATAAAGCATGATATTAAAAAAAGTTCTAATAGCTGCTTTGATACTATCAAGAACTTTCAACCTGGAGAGCATGCTTTGGAACTAGACTGTCCAAGTATCCCAAAGCTGGGAAAAGCTGAAGGCAGCACCATGGAGGAAGCACAAACATCCCAACATGCAGCTTTGAAGCCAGAACGAAGTTTTGAGATTCTTACTGAACAGCAAGCATCTAGCCTTACTTTTAATTTAGTGAGTGATGCACAGATGGGTGAAATATTTAAGAGTTTATTGCAAGGTTCTGATCTTTTGGACAACAGTGTTAATTGTACTGAAAAAACTGAGTGGGAGTTAAAGACTCCAGAGAAACAGTTGCTAGAGAGCCTTAAGGGTGAGTCTATACCAGCTTGTACAACAGAAGAGCTGGCTTCAGAGGTGGCTTCTCCATGTCCTAAAATAATTAGTGATGATAATTGGTCATTATTGTCTGACAAAGGTCCATCTCTGTCTTCAGGACTTTCATTGCCAGTTCATCCTGATGTGTTGGATGAAAGTTGTATGTTTGAAGTGTCTACTAACATGGCCTTAAGTAAAGATAATGTGTGTAGTTCAGAAAAGAGCAAACCCTGCATTTCTTCCATACTTCTTGAAGATCTAGCAGTATCTTTGACAGTACCATCACCTCTGAAGTCAGATGGTCATCTCAGTTTCTTAAAGCCTGAAGGTTTGTCTAATTCAACTCCTGAAGAAGTTATTAGTGCCCATTTTAGTGAAGATGCCTTATTGGAGGAAGAAGATGCCTCTGAACAAGATATTCATTTAGCTCTGGAATCTGATAATTCAAGCAGTAAATCTAGTTGTTCTTCATCATGGACAAGCCGGTCTGTTGCTCCAGGATTTCAGTACCACCCTAATCTACCTATGCATGCTGTGATAATGGAAAAGTCCAATGATCATTTCATTGTGAAAATACGACGTGCAACGCCATCCACGTCTGCTGGTCTTAAACAGAGTGTGGTAACTGATGAGTCATTGGCATCTTTGTCCAGCATTGGGAAGGAAGCTGATGAAGCAGCAAAGAAAGAATATGTTTCATGTCAGAACACAGTTACCAAACCTGTGGATGAATTAGAAAATTCTAACAAAATTGTCAATGGCAATAAATCAGGTCCTGAAGAACAGAACTCTATGGTACAACCACAGGTTCCTGATATATATGAATTTCTTAAAGATGCTTCAGGTAAGGCAGGTGACAGTGATGAAGTGACTGATGAATGTTTCAAGTTACATCAAGTATGGGAACCAAAAGTGCCTGAAAGCATTGAAGAACTGCCTTCTCTAGAAGAAATTCCACACTCTGTTGAGGATCGTCTTCCAGACACATACATAGACCTAACGAAAGTTCCAATTACTGAGACCAAAAACTTGGGGGAACTGATGGAAGTAACAGTTTTAAATATTGATCAGTTGAGATGTTCTGGAAACAGTTTAAATCAAAATGCTCACAGCTTAGGTAATTCTGTGCAATCTGATAATGTGGGTGCTTTTATTGATTTGACACAAGATGCTTCAAGTGAGAGTAAAAATGAAAGTAACCATTCTGCATTAGCTGTTGAAGGATTGGGATGTCAGGTGATATGTGTAGATGAAGATAAGTATACGGAAGAAAAGGTGCAAATGGAAAGCAAGCCTTCGAAATGCATTACTGAGAAAGCCTATATTGATTTGACCACCGAATCTCCTGTTTCTTGTGAAGTAAAAGATGATTTAAAATCAGAGTCAGCATCAAATTCTGGGAATCCAGAGTTGCCTGGGACTTTGGATAATGCTCACAAAAAGAGAAAAAACCTTTCTGAACTAAATCAGTCTTCTCAGAAAAAACAAAGAAAGGAAACAGATGTAACTAGTAGGGAACAGACCAAGAAACTTATTCAAGAGAATGGTGAAGCTTACCGAAAGAAAGCCAATAAGAAAAGGGCCTCTGTAGTGAATAAAGATCCCACAGGAATTAAAGATTCGGCAGCAGCACTCAACGCTTCTACAAGTCTTTCTGCAAGGAATGTTATTAAAAAGAAGGGAGAAATTATAGTTTCATGGACAAGGTAAGTTGTAAGACATTTAAATTACTAGGAAATTTTGGGAGATTAGAAATTTAATACATCCTAATCCTCCACCTATGGCGCCGGCACCCCTGGTTCTAGTCCCAGCTGGGGCACTGGGTTCTAGTCCCGGTTGCTCCTCTTCCAGTCCAGCTCTCTGCTGTGGCCCAGAGGGCAGCGGAGGATGGCCCAAGTGCTTGGGTCCTGCACCCGCATGGGAGACTGGGAGGAAGCACCTGGCTCCTGGCTTCAAATCAGCGTAGCACCGGCCGTAGTAGCCATTAGGGGAGTAAACCAATGGAAGGAAGACCTTTCTCTCTCTCTCTCTCTCACTGTCTATAACTGTCAAATAAAAAAAAAAAACAAAATTAATACATCATCATAGTTTATCCCATCCTGAAATAAGGAAAGTGATGACATGAAAAGTGGATAAAGTTAGTTGAATATACTTTCCAGGATACAGCTCAGCTATAGTGTGGAATATTCTAGGGCAGTGACTCTTAACCAATGGTGTGCATTCTTAACACCACAGATAGTTTTTCATTGTTTTGACTTTACATTTTCAATTTGAAAGAATTTGATTTGGCAGTAATGGAATAAACATTTTTGAGAGAAAGGATGACAGGTGGCAAAACGGCAAAAAGTAGTAGTGTTTGCAATTTGATTATTCCTCTGAATTCAAGTCTCCAGTTTTATAAATAGGTTGTACTTATGTGCCCTTTTTTTTTTTTTTTTTTTTTTGGACAGGCAGAGTTAGAGACAGAAAGGTGTTCCTTTTCCGTTGGTTCACCCCCCAAATGGCCCCTACGGCCAGTGCACTGCGCCAATCCGAAGCCAGGAGCCAGGTGCTTCCTCCTGGTCTCCCATGCAGGTGCGGGGCCCAAGCACTTGGGCCATCCTCCACTGCCCTCCCGGGCCACAGAAGAGAGCTGGACTGACTGGAAGAGGAGCAACCAGGACAGAATCCGGCGTCCCGACCAAGACTAGAACCCGGGTGTTGGCACTGCAGGTGTAGGATTAGCCTAGTGAGCCGTGGCGCTGGCCAATGTGCCCTTCTTAAGTGTAGATCTTAAGATTCAAGTTTGTTCATTTTTATTTTATATTTTTTAAAGATTTATTTTTTATCTGAAAGGCAGAGTTAGAAGTAAAAGGAGAAACAGAGAGATCTTCCATCTCTGTCTCACTCCCCAGATGGCCAAAATGGCCAGAGCTGGGCCAGGCTAAGGCCAGAGCTGGGCCAGGCTAACGCCAGGAGCCAGGACCTTCTTCCAGGTATCCCATGTGGACGCAGGGACCCAAACAGTGCTTTTCCAGTCTCATTAGGAGGGAGCTGGATCAGAAGTGGAGCAGCTGGGACTCCAGCCAGTTGCCCTTATGGGTTATCGGCATTGTAGGCGGCAGCTTAATCCACTATGCCACAAGCACCAGCGATTAAATGGAAAGGTTATGATCATTGGTCTAGAGGTAGATAGTGGTCATATTTGACTAAAATATTTACTTATAGGAGCTCAGTTTTCTTAAAACTAGTGATAAGTTTTGTATAAAATGACAGTCTTCAAATCCCCACTTAAGGTAACTTGGCACATGGCAGTGCAAGACATAATAAACACATTCATGTAGGAAAAGCAGAGGTTGAAGCTGGTATTGTGACATAGTGGGTAAAGCCACCACCTGCCATGCTGCCATCCCATATGAGCTGTTTCACTTTTCATCTGGCTCCCTGCTAATGGCCTAGGAAAAGCAGCAGAAGATGCCCAAGTGCTTGGGCTCCTGCCATCAATGTGGGAGACCCAGATGAAGTTGTTGGAGGCATCTGGAAAGTGAACTAGCGAATGGAAGAGTGCTTTTTCCTCTGTCTTCCTCTCTGTGTTAGTGACTTTCAAATAAATAACTTTTTTTAAAAAAAAGATTTATTTATTTGAAAGGCAGAGATACAGAGAAGCAGAGAGAGAGATCTTCCACTCGCTGGTTTACTCCCCAAATGGCTGCAAGGGCCTGAGCTGGGCCAGTCTGAAGCTAGGATCTAGGATCTTCTGGGTCTGCCACGTTGGTGTGGGGGCCCAAGCTCCTGAGCCATCCTCCACTCCTTTCCCAGGCCTTAGTAGAGAGCTGGGTTGGAAGAGGAGCAGCTGGGACTCAAACAGGTGTCCATATGGGATGCCTGCACTGCAGTTGGCAGCTTTACCTGCTCTGCCATTGTGCTGGCCCCTATGATCATTTTTTAGCCCTATTTTTTAAAGTTGTATACACATTAAAGGTAAAATTTTTTTTAAACCTAAAACTTAAGCTTTTGTCATTAAAGAAATAACATTTTGTTACAGAAAAATTGGTAAAGATATGAGCTTATAGGGTCAAATCATCTGTAATCTTGTTTCTTACAGGTAATCATTGTCTATAGTTTGATATATGTGAGTTTTAATAAATATATTGTTTTAATAAAATTTTTACCACTATTGATGGACTTTAGGACAGTAGAATTTTTATTATGTTTCTAATGTAGTGTATAAATGCTAAATATAACTTTTCCTTCCTCAGAAATGATGACCGGGAAATTTTATTGGAGTGTCAAAAAAACGGGCCATCTTTGAAAACGTTTACAAATTTAGCTGTCAAGCTGAATAAAAATCTAAATCAGGTAACTACACAAGCTTTACATTTATACGGGTTCACAGATGTTGCTGTCCTACAGACTTCATCTTTAGCATATTAAAATACATGTATATTAGTCAAGTTATTTAAAAGTATGCTCAGTGTAGGACTTAATGTCGGTGATTGTGAAAGAATTGTGACTGGAGTGATCCTTTATTCCTTGTGTGTCTTACCATTTACTTATTTGATCTCTGACAATTTGGTAATGATGTTTTGCTTATTTAAGGAGAAAGTTGAATATTAAAAGTTAGATTAAACAATCACTTTAAATATGAAGGCATCCTGTTTTTCTAAGCATATTTTCATTATTGAAGATAACTTTGTCTTTAGGTATTTTGTGAAAGTATTCATCAAAGGTTGAAAAAGGGGCAGGCATGGTGCATGGTTATCACTGCTTCTGTCACCCTCCTCCCACATTGGAGTGCTGGTTTGAGTACTGCTACTCCACTTCCGATCCAGCTTTTTGCTAACTCTATCATTGGAGGCAGCAGGTGATGGCTCAAATACCTGGGCCCCTGCCATACACATGGGAGAGCTATAATGAGTTCCAGGCTCTTGGCTTTGGCTTAGCCTAGCCCTAGCTGTTGGAGGTATTTGGCGAGTGAACCAGCTGTCTTTCTCTCTCTACTTTTAAATAAAATAAAAATAAGTAAGAATTTTAAAAATCATTGAAAAAGACTATTGAGATTCTTATGATTAATACTAATTTTTAATTTTTCAGGTCTCAGAAAGATTCCAGCAGCTAATGAAGCTCTTTGAAAAATCAAAATGCAGGTAGTTAATGGTTATACTAAGGAGATTTACAAAGTAAATGTTTGATAACTGTAGTTGGGCAGTTAATGACCTGTTAGTCATTGAAGATTTGAATAGTGAGCAAGAGACATCCAGTTGAGTTCCTGCTTCAGTCACAGGTTGGAGGATGTTTGCAGACATCTAAGGCCACCTCATCTGCAGGGATGTGCCCAGATTGAAGCCTGCTGCAGTTCAGGTCAGCATGGCATCTCCTCAACCCTCTGCTGCTAAGACCAAGGTGGGGGGAATTCCTTTTGATGGTTAATCATAGAATTTTTATAGATGAAGAAAAAACATTCTTTACTAGCAGCATTTCATAACCAATGATGTCTGCATAATCACTGTAATTCAATATTTCTCATTTTAAATTAGGAGCACTCAGTACTTTACAGTAGGAAATGTTAAGAACATGAAGTCCATTGCCATCTGAATGACATGATTTATTGTATTAAATTATTACTAATGTTCACAGACATGTTTCCTAGTTTAAGTCATTTTTGTATAGTTGTAAAGGCATATAACATATCACTATATTTCCCAATTGATTGTAATCATAATTATATGAATGCAAAACACCCAATTTTACGTTGTTTTGGGGGCAGGCATTTGTACAGCAGTTAAGATGCCAATTAAAGCACCCACATCCCAAATCAGAATGCCTAGGTTCAAGTCCTGGCCCCCTTCCAATTCCTCTTGTGGGAGGCACCAGGTAATGGTGGCTCAAATGCTTGGGTCCCCAGCACCCATATCGGAGATTTGAATTGAGTTCTGGGCTCCTAGTATTTTCTTGGCCCTGGCTATTGTGGTATTTTGGGGAGTGAACCAGTGGATGGAAGATCTTTCTGTCTCTTTCTATGTTTATTTGAAATAAAATGAAAGTAAATAAATACAGATTTAAACTTTTAGTTAAATCTGAGTAAAAACTGGACACAGATCACAGTGTGAAGGGCTCTGAACATTTTTGAGCTACATATCTGTTTCTAGCTCCAGTGTGAATTATTGTTACATAATTTGTTAATTTCCACATCTTTTTTTTTAAGACTTATTTATTTTATTTGAATGGCAGAGTTAGAGAGAGAGAGAGAGATTTTCCATCTGCTGGTTCACTGTAAAATGGCTGCAGTAGCCGGAACTGGGCCAGACCAAAGCCAAGAGCTTCTTCCAGGTCTCCCATTTGGATGCAGGGGCCCAAGTAATTGAGCTTTCCTCTGCAGCCTTTCCAGGTGCATTAGGGAGCTGGATCAGAAGTGGAACATCCAGGACTTGAATCGGGGCCTCTAGGGGAAGCCAGTGTTGTGGGCGGCGGCTTAACCACCCACTATGTCACAGCGCCGGCCCTGCCACATCTCTTAAAGCATCTGCCTTGCTAATGAGAACTTCAAAAGGTGTTTAGTGGTTTATGCTAAATAAAGTCCAGTTTTGTTTATATGGGAGTACTTCAAAAATTTCATGGAAATGGAATTAAAAGTTTATTTTGGTACTCAAAAATTTGAAATCCACATATATGAGGTTTCTTAAAAATTCTTATAGAAATGCATATTGTGAAAAAACTGCATGGATTTCAATTTTTTTTGCACCAAAATAAACTTTTTTAAAAAAGATTTATTTATTTGGAAGGTAGAACAATTGAGAGAGGGACAGACAAAAGGAGAGAGATCTTCCAATGAACCCACAGCTAGGGCAGGGCACACTGACACCAGGAACTAAGTTTCATCTGGGTCTCCCACAGGGGAAGGGGTGCAAGTACTTGGACTATCATCTGTTAGCTGCAGACTTCCTGTGCATTAGCAGGAAGCTGGATTGAAAATGGAGTCGCTGGGACTCAAATTGGCATTCTGCCATGAAATTGCAAGCAGTGGTTTAACCCACTGTGCCACATCGGCTCCTCAGAATAAACTTAAAATTCTGTATTCCATGGACATTTCAAAGTATGCTCATGTAGTTCAAAATGAAAATTGAATAATGAGGAATTTGGACAGGCTTGTTCTAAAAGAACTTTAAAGTGGCTTAGATATTTTTCAGAATCACTGTGTTTTAAGATTTTTGCTGGGCCGGGGCCGCAGCTCATTAGGCTAATCCTCCGCCTTGCGGCGCCGGCACACTGGGTTCTAGTCCCGGTTGGGGCGCCGGAGTCTGTCCCAGTTGCCCCTCTTCCAGGCCAGCTCTCTGCTGTGGCCAGGGAGTACAGTGGAGGATGGCCCAAGTCCTTGGGCCCTGCACCCCATGGGAGACCAGGATAAGTACCTGGCTCCTGCCATCGGATCGGCGTGGTGCACCGGCTGCAGCAGCCATTGGAGGGTGAACCAACGGCAAAAGGAAGACCTTTCTCTCTGTCTCTCTTTCTCACTGTCCACTCTGCCTGTCAAAAAATTTAAAAAAAATAAAAATAAAATAAAATAAAACATCATAAATTTATGATCTGCTCAAAATCTGTTAAAAAAAAAGATTTTTGCTGCCTTTAACAAATTCAACTGAGTGTTAATTTTGGTTTTACATTAATGTTATCTTAAAATATGATTTGCATTCTCTTAGAATTTAAATTCATGAAAGAGGTAACTTGTATCTGGAACTATGCTGGAAATTTCCAATCTGCATTGTAAATCTAATCATTAACTTTACAAATTTAAAACTTTTCAATTAATTTAATATTTGGGATTTTATTTGCTTGTATGATAGGACATGTACTGGAGTGTTTCATTCCTAGCTTGACCCTTACCAGATTTTTTTCCCTATGTACTGTAGTTTAATTCGTCCAAATCAGAATGATAGTTTTCACAAAAGCTGGTTCTGTAAAATCAGTATTGTGTAAGTAGAGCTTATTTAAAAGGTAACACTATCAAAATGGTCATATCAGAAGAATAGAATCATAACTTCAGCATTTTCTTATATTACAGATAAGTTGCTGAATTCCTTGGAGTCTTAATTGAATTGCATACTACACAGAAGCTTCAAATTCCTCATGTTTTAAATGGGGAACAAGAGGGAGGTTTTATTACATTTTGACTAGTAGGTAATTATCTACATTTGTTATTAATTACTGACTGTAATCGCAGGTCAGCATATTCAGTTTATCCTAGTCATCTGTCTGATTTGCTCACCTGTTAGTGGTCAAAATATTTATTTTTAAACATGTGACAGCTTATCAAAATGAAAGCAACAATGATGTAGAATTGAAAATTTAGTTTTGATATTTCAAAGAAGTGACTTTCTTTTGTGATTTTCTATAATAGTTTTGTAGCCTTTTAAACTAAGTGACTGGTTTAAGTTTTCACCATTTTTATTTGCTTTTATAATTACCTCCGCTCATTTTGGTAAACTGTAAATAATTTAAATAGTATATTTGTAAATATGTATAATTATAATGATGTAAAATACTTTGTATGTGTATGTATTTGTGTATATGCACACACATAAATGGTTTTGCCTGGCCAAGGAGTTTTTTATCTGTATAAAACTTTTTGTATAAAGTTTGTTTTCGATAAAGGTAATGTATAATAAAACCATGTAAAGTTCTATTTCAATTAGAATGTTTCTTTTTTTCTAATATTGAAGCAAAATTTAATGACAAATAATGAAGAAAGTATACCTGATAGGCCAGGTAAGCATCTCAGTGAAGAACTGAGAGCCTAGAATATTTCTTTTAATGTGTTTAGACTTGAGTCCCTCCCACCTGTGTGAGAGACCCAAATTTTGTTCTGAGCTTCTTACGGCCTGGCCTAGTCCTGGGTGTTGTGGACATTTGGGGAGTGAACAAGCAGATGGAGATCTCTGTCTTTCTCTTTCAAATAACTTTTTTTTTTTTCCCCAAAAATGTGTAAAGGACCAAGAATCAGATTAATTCCAGTCTTCTCAAGTACAATACTAGCTTTTGGAAAACAATATAATATTTTTAAAGGTCTGGACTTAAAAAACTTACATCTATTTAAATGTCAAATATTGAGGGCTTAATAAAAACAGTAAGAATTTTTGGGGAAAATTGGCAGAAAATAAGTCTAGGGGATAATATAGAAGCTAGGGGAATAATACTAGTCAGATACTTTGGTAAGATGTGTTTAGGGGGAGATTTTGTTGTTAAAAGGGAAGGGGGTAAGCATTTGGCACAATGGTTGAGACATTGCATCCCATATCAGAGTGCCTGAGTTTGAGTCCCAGCTCCACTTCCAGTTCCATCTTGCTGCTGATACACACTCATGGAGGCAGCCAGTGATGGCTCAGATGATTGGGTCCCTGCCACTCACGTGGGAGACCCAGATTGAATTCCTGGCTCCTGGCTTTGGCCTGGACCAGCCCTGACTATTGCAGGCATTTGGGAAGTGAACTAGCAGATGGGGGAATCTTTGTCCCTCTGCGTTTCAAATCTTTTTTTATTTTTTTATTTTTTTTTAAATGAGCATCACTCTTAAAAACAAAACAAAACCAGAAAGCCATATCTGGAACAGTTACTGCAATTGGAGTTAACACATTATTAGTAAGGTAATCATTTTCTAAGATCTTTTCCCTTTTTGCACCAGAGCTGAGATAGGTTATCCTGCCCTGCAACTTTTAAGTCTTTGTTTAATAGAGGCATTAAACTCAGTGGTTGTACCAAGGATGAGGTGTTATTTTTTCTGGAAAGGGGTTAAATCTTACATTTGTTTCCTTTTTATGTGCTATTTGCTCTGGATGTTTTTATTTTTTCTTTCATTTTCTTCGTTAACTTGTTTTGAATTCTTTTTAACTCAGTATTTTCCTACACTAACTTATTGTTCTCTGTCTTTACCCTAGAGAATACACATCCATCCTTTCAAAATCTTAAGTAGCACTAAATGTTGGGTCCACCTTTCTTGGCTGACTTCTTTTTTGTGGATTTTGGCTCAAATTCCCCATTGCCTTGTCAGGTTTTACCCCCAGCCTTTTCAGGTTATTTTCCTTGGGAGAACTGGTTCTTAATTGTTCCAACATTACTAAGTAGATAATTTTTTTTTTTTTAAGATTTATTTTTTATTTACTTGGAGGAGAGGGCGAAACAGAGACAGAAATCTTCCATCTACGGATTCACTTCCCATAAGGCCACAACAGCCAGGGCAGAACCAAGCTGAAGCCAGGAGCCTGAAGCTCCTATCTGATTCACCCTCATGGGTGACAGGGGTCCAGGTACTTGGGCCATCTTGTGCGTTCCCAAGCGATTATCAGGGAGGTGGAACAGAAGTGGAACAGCCGGTTCTCAAACCTCCTCTCATTTGGGATGCTAGTGTTGAATGCAGCAACTTTGGCTTCTGTATAACGATGCCAGCTGTACTAGCTAGATACTTTTAAAATTTAAGTTCAGGAGAAAAAAGAATGTAGAAAGCAAGACAAATTCAAAGTTAAGAAGGAAGATGATAGAATTAAGTCCCAAAATGACAGTGAAGAGATTACATGTATACAGCAATTGAGGTGCCAGATTCTAGTCCCGATTGTTCCTCTTCCAGTCCAGCTCGCTGCTGTGGCCCAGGAAGGCAGTGGAGGATGGCCCAAGAGCTTGGGCCCCTGCACCCATGTGGGAGACCTAGTTGAAGCTCCTGGCTCCTGGCGTTGGCCTGGCCCAGCCATGGCTGTTGTGGCCATCTGAGGGGTGAACCAGTGGATGAAAGACCTCCGTCTCTTCTGTTTGTAACTCTGAGTTTCAAAATAAATGAATAAATCTCAAGAAAAAAAAAATGTTGTGCCATCAATTAAACTTCACCTTTGATTGCTGCTTAAATGTTTTCCTGGTGTGTCCTTGGTCAGTTCACAATTTCTATGTTTTTTCCCTTCTAAGAACAGGGATTGTTCTGGAACAAGATTTCAGACAGGTCCTCAGTTGAGTTTTGTTTTAGAGAAAGTAGAACATATAGTTGGTAAATCTTGGGCCCACCACCCCTGGCTGGCTTCAACTAGAATGTTTTTATCTGTTGGATCATTTAGGAAGTGAACCAGTGGATGGGAGTGCTCTGTCTCAGCAGATGGGAATGTGCTCTCTGCTTCTCTGCCTCTCAAATAAAATAAAAAGCAATCAGATTGATTCGTCTGCAAATTTAAAAAAGATATGGGGCTGGCATTTGGTTCAGTGGTTAAAACACTGCTTGTCGCGCCTTTATCCTGTATCTGATTGTCTGGGATTGAGTCCTACTGCTATTCCAGTTCCAGCTTCATGCTGATGCACACACTAGAAAGCAGCAGGTGATGGCCCAAGTCCTTGGGTCCCTGCCACCCACGTGGATCTGGATAGAGTCCTGTGCTCTTGGCTGCAGCCTGGCTCAGCTGTCCACAAGGGCGGCCTGGATAAAGCTCCTGGCTCCTGGCTTCAACCTGGTCCAGTCTTGGCTGTTGTAGCCATTTGGGAGAATGAACCAGTGGATAGGTCTCTTTTTCTGTCTCCTCTCAACTCTGCCTTTCAAATGAATAAATATTTTTAAAAATAAATTTAAAATTGAAAGAATCAGATACATAATTGTATTTATTTTCTGGTTTAAACATTTATTTTTTTTTTAATTTTTTATTTTTATTTTTTGCCAGGCAGAGTTAGACAGAGAGAGAGAGAGTTATAGACAGTGAGAGACAGAGAAAGGTCTTCCATTGGTTCACTTGCCTAATGGCCACTACAGCTGGCGCTGTGCCGGTCTGAGGCCAGGAGCCGAGTGCTTCCTCCTGGTCTCCCATGTGGGTGCAGGGACCCAAGCACTTGGGCCATCCTCCACTGCCCTCCCAGGCCACAGCAGAGAACTGGACTGGAAGAGGAGCAACTGGGACTAGTACCCGGCGCCCCAACTGGGACTAGAACCCCGGGTGCCGGCACCGCAGGCGGAGAATTAACCAAGTGAGCCACGGCGCCAGCCTAAACATTTATTTTCTTTAGTAGGGAATACATTTACTACATAGAAGATACTTGTAAAATTCACCCAACCTCCTCAGTCACCCAGCTACCTACCTTTGAGACAATTTTAGGAGTTATTCCTTGCATAAATTATGATTTTAGTGTTTTGAATATAACTTGCATTAAATCATTACTGTGCTGGTGAGTTTTATAATTAAATATCAAAGGAGTTCTTGGGCATTGTACCCAGTACCATTCAAATGCACATGAAAAATAATTCTAGTTAATTTTGATAATTTGTACTTGAGTCTAGTGTGTCAGACCTCCAATATGGGATGCAGGTATTTCAAGGGGTGGCCAACTGACCCTGCCATTTACTGTGTGCCTTCTGTGTTTCCCCTTCCCCCCTCTCCCCTCCCCTCCCCTCCAGTAGTCCTTGGGCCCCTGCACCCACATGGGAGTTCTGGAAGAAGCTCCTGGCTCTTGGCTTCAGATCAGCCCAGCTCCGGCCGTTGTGGCCAATTGGGGAGTGAACCAGTGGTTGGAAGATCTCTTTCTCTGTCTCTCTGCCTCTGCTTCTCTAATAAATAAATAAATCAAAAAAAAAAAAAAAAAAAAAAAGGAAGACCTGGATGAAGCTCGGCTCCTGGCTTCATCCTGGTCCAGCCCTGGTCACTTGACATCTGGGGAGTAAACCAGGAGATGGAGGATCTCTGTCTTTGTTTCTCCTTTTATCTATAACTTTTCAAATAAATAAGTAATCTTTAAAAACAAAATGAGAAAATAAAAGTGTCTAAAAAATAGAATAGATGATACTTATGAACTATGAGTTTATGTACTTCTACATTTTTTGTGGAAATGAGCAGGCTTAGAAATGTGCCCAGGAGCTGTGATTTGAAGCCATCTTTGGATTCTAGTGACACTTTTGCTCTCAGCTCCTCTAAAAGTTCAGTAACTTTATATACTTGGGATGTGACCAGTTGATGCTACAATAGAGAGGAAATTAGAACTTGTCTCTATCTGCATCATGTAGAGTCCTTTGACCTTTCTGGAATTTGTATTTTCTCTACAAAAATCAGACCCACTTTTGTTTCTTTTCTTTTTAAAGATTTTATTTACTTATTTGAAAGGCAGAGTTAGAAGGAGAGAGAAAGAGATCTTTCACCTGCTGGTTTACACACTAAATAGCCGCAATG